CAGAGGGAAAGACAGGCAGAAGGCAGGGTACATTCTGGGTGGGATTCCAGTGCATCACAGAGGGAAAGACAGGCAGAAGGCAGGGTACAGTCTGGGTGGGATTCCAGTGCATCACAGAGGGAAAGACAGGGAGAAGGCAGGGTACAGTCTTGGTGGGATTCCAGTGCATCACAGAGGGAAAGACAGGCATAAGGCAGGGTACAGTCTGGGTGGGATTCCAGTGCATCATAGAGGTGCACATTATCACTTTAAAGCTATTTAAGGAGTCACTGTATTAGTCATTGTACAATGGGTACATGACACAATTAGTAAATTACATGCAAAATACCTCTACAGTGGCATTGTTCAATAAATTAGCTTCATTTTCACCTCAAAGCGCATCATGCAACCACTGATATTGTTTGGGTTTTAAAAACTTGCTCCCTTTTTCGCAGATGTATTGCAGCCTTACATTACAGTTTTTGTCATTCCATCTTTTCATGTCTTCGGTACCTGTGTTCCTGGACTCCACACAGTCCTCTTCCTGGAAGTCGTCAGACTGGCCTTTCCTCCAGAGTCTGGCAGCAAACAGGTTGTTTCATGTTTTTTAACTCGCTAGAGTAGAGTGTGTCGCTTATCAATGGGGATACATTCTATGAAATGCATCATTAGGGGATTTTGTCATTTTGCAAACATCATAGAGTGTACTTACACAAGCCTAGATGGTGTACCCTACTACACACCTACTGTAGGCTACAGTAAACTTTTTTATTAGTAGGAAGCGCTCAGTTTAAAATAACAATGAAAAATACAGCATATTAAATACATAAACCAGTAATGTTGTTTATTATCATTTTAGTGTCATGTACTGCACATGACTATGTGCTGTACTTTCACACGACTGGCAGTGCAGTATGTTTGTTCACCAGCATCACCACAAACACGTGAGTAATGTGTTACTCTACCACGTCACCAGGCAATAGGAGTTTTTCAGCTCTATTATAAACTTGTGGAACCACCGTCTTATATGCGATCCATCATTGATCGAAACATCATTATGCAGTGCATTACCATGATTAATTGTTGTCAGAGCTCAGAGTGCTGAACCTTAGGCCTGTTTAGTAAATAACAGGACTGCGACAGCAGTGTGCAGTGGTACTTTCACTACTGTACTCTATAACGTCAGGAGAATAACACTAGTGTTTAGTCAGCAGTTTGGCACAGTGGCATCTGAGCTATACTCTGTCACAGTACTGAATAAGACTGCACTGAATCTGCTACTTCCTTCTGCATCTCTCCTTAATGATCCCGAGTCCTGTCTTACCCTTTCTCTTTGGGAATTACTTCCCCATCCACCCATTTCCAGGTTCCTTCTTCATGGAGGTCAGTCAAACCGATCCAGAAACGTCCATTAAAATCATCGATGAAAACCTAGTTTCAGAAATATTATAACCTTTTTTGTTACAGTTCTGAGCAAATGGAAACAATCATAATTACATCACGCTTGATATCACCACTTGGTCCTTGACACCATAATTAACTATGCTTTAAACTGTATCTATTAAACTGCACTTAACTACCAACATGAGTGAAGGTGGTCTTGTAGAACAGAGGTACTTTACATATCCCCATGGGGAAAGCAGGTACTTTGCATATCCCCATGGGGAAAGCAGGTACTTTACATATCCCCATGGGGAAAGCAGGTACTTTACATATCCCCATGGGGAAAGCAGGTACTTTACATATCCCCATGGGGAAAGCA